TTGATATCATTTTAGAATGACAGAAGTATTTAACAAAAAAGGGCTCAATTATTCTGACCTTTGTTGTAATTTATACTGTTTCCTTGTTTATTTATGAGAAAATGCACAAAATGGAAACCATTCTGCTGGCAAGTTTGAGAGGCAAAATCTAAATTATATAAGCAAGGGCTTTATTATTTCTTAGTTCTTTTGTCTTCAGTATTTATCTACAAAACTGAAAATATTAGAAACAAAAATTAAATATTTTCATTAATGAGAAGATGTGTACAAATATTGTAGTGTCCATCTCTAAGTTTTGGTGAACTCTGACCTGCCAAATTTGGACCGGTGACCAACAGCAAATAGTCTTAAGATGAGAGAAAGACTACAGACTTATTTAAAAGAAACCAATATTTACTTTTGGTAACTGGCAGGGTGTTAACAGAAACAATGTTACTGTTCCTCACTTCACCTTTGCCTTCTCTCTCTCCTCATCATTCTACCCATCCTTGCTTCTTTTTCACTTATTCCTTTTAGCTCCTCTTCACACTGATATTTTTTCTTCTTTCCTCTCTCACCTACTTTTTACCTTCTCCCACTCCATCACTCCTCTTGCCTCTGTCTCCCTCTCCCCAGAGAACAAGATGAATAATGCAGTGTTCTGCTCTGATAATCATCATCATCACTGGTCTTTCCTCTGAATTTGGTTCTATAAATAAATATGACACCATTTCAGGTATTGAATCTAGCTGCAAATTCATGTGGATATACTGTATGGTAAAATTACAAACTAGGCTTTACTATAGACCAAAGCTAAAATAAGCTCAATATGAACAAATTAACATTGTGTAGCTCAGTTTGATTTCATATTTCAAGTATAAGCAACTAAATACAGTTTGCATTACAAGTATTTCATGCTCAATTTCATAAAGTGGATCAGTTCTGCATCCCCTGGAATCCCACAATGTGGGACTAGTGCAATATATGCTGGAGAAACATCATGTCCACTGCAGAACCAGACAGCTCACTGCAGACAGCCCCCGGCTCTTGGTGGGCAGCCATCTGCCTTGACTGGTTGGGGTGAGTGGATAGAGGAGAGAGAAAAGAAGAAAAGCAACAAGACACAACAAACAATCAAACACTGGTCAGGTTGATGTGACTGGTGACTGCTCATAAGAAATGTAGAGCTCCCGAGCCAGGGCTTCCTGCACTAAAGTACAGGAAGAGAGGGAGGACACACTACGGGAGAGAGGAGATACAAAGTTAATGATGTGTAATGGTGGCATATAGAAGCATAGGGAGAGAGGAAAGGAGAGGAGACAAGAGGGGAGGGGAGGAGAAAAACTCAGAGCATCATGGGCCCCCCAGCAGCCTCGGCCTATAGCAGCATAACTAAGGGAAGGCTCAGGGTCACCTGATCCAGCCCTAACTATAAGCTTTATCAAAATGGAAAGTCTTAAGGTCTCTTAAAGGTAGAGAGGATGTCCGCCTCCCGAAATGCGACTGGGAGTGGGTTCCATAGGAGAGGAGTTTGATAGCTAAAGGCTCTGCCTCCCATTCTACTTCTGTGGACTTTAGGAACCACAGGTAGACCTGCACTCTGAGAGCAAAGTGCTCTGTTAGGATGATAAGGGAGCAGCCAAAACATTTAAAGTATAGGAAATATGAAATTTCGGTTTAGAATTAAAAACTGATTTGATTTCAGTACATTTATTTTATTAATTTGATGATTTTATCTTCATTTTATTTTGAAACCACATACAATACATACCATAGACAGGAAAAAGGCAAATTGTGGGACATATTGTATGTTTTATCAATAGAATGAACAATAAATAGATTTTGAAATATTCTCTATGTATGCCCATGTATACCACATCTGTTTTGGGTATTAGTGAAAGACATATAGTGACAGTTACATATCACATTTTCATATTAGACTAACACACACTGCAAATACACATACACATATTTGTATGATTACATTTTCATGTAATGTAAATACAAATTTACATACTTATTAGGATTCTTCAGACTTGCATTCATTCCCAAACCAATACACACACACACACACACACTGACAAAACACATGCATATGTTACAAAAAAAAGGATTTTAAAGGATTTTATCTCTGTTACACACACACACACACACACACACACACACACACACACACACACACACTTTAAACTAGTCCCTCAAGAGGAGTAGTCTATAATCAGCACAAGCTATGTGTCTGTGTCAGCACAAATACACTCACTCCCTGTGAGGTCTGAGAATTCTGAGATATTGAGCATATTCCACTCTGTTAAAGCCATAGGTTACATGATCATTACCCCAAATATGCACAAATCCCTGTAGTCATCACTGACAGGGTCCGTACAGAGACTTTCATTTCAAAAAGAGACTTATCCTAACCTCAATCAAAGCTGACACTTGCTCTAACCTTACACTCTGTCATTTTCATAAAATTCGATTAATTATTCAAAGGGCTTGGCCTCCAGTTCCCACAAGTGAATTCTGGTCTCCACAAAGAAGCGCGTTTACAGTATTCTGCCCCCACAAGTATATAAAAACAAGGCCACACACACACACACACACACACATATACATATACTCTGTACATAATTCCTAGCCTTCCTTTTTGTCTTCTTCTGTTTGTTTGTCTTAATGTCTGCAAGGCAGTGGAGCAGTGTGGTGAAACCCCTGTCATCTTCTCCTTTTCCTCCTTCCGTTTTCACCCTCTCCTCCTTTGACTTTTTTCACTTCTTCTTGTACCATTTACCCTCTTCCACTTCTCCTCCCTTTCGCATTCATTTTCATTTCTCTCTCAGGTGTGCTTTATTTACCCGCACACATCTCTCCCTATTAATTTTAGGCGTGCGTGTTTGTGTTCCTATTGAAGTTTGATTAAGAGTGCATGTGTTTCATTCATCTCTTTTTAAATATGGGTGTTCATCATCACAGAAATTTAATTTTCCATGGCATGTTACACAGAATCACCATGACAGAATCATTGTCCCATCAATATCATGCTGTTGATATTTTCAG